AGCACTATTTATTTCTCATAAATTAAAAATTTTGTTGAAGAAAATTTTTAAAATAATTTTTTAAAGTGAGTTTTAAATAAGTTTTGAAAAAATTTAGATGTATAATTTTTTTAAACTTACTTAAAACTCATTTAAAAAGTTGATTTTATTGTTTTCCTCTAATAAAATTTTAAATTTGTGAAAGATAAATAGTATTTTTAAAGCAAATACTTTTTATTTTTTTACCAAATACCTCATAACGTTTTTTCTTTTTCTTTTTCTTTTTGGTTGACATATATGTCTCCCACATTTGTTAATCGGAGTTTGATTTCACAAAGAAACTATTAAGAAAGTAGTTTTTTTTTATAAATTTCTTAGTTTTAATATAGATGAATGTTTTAATATAGATGAATGACTTGATTTTAGACAAAATTATTTAAGATGTAAATTTAGTATAGTAAGTGCAAGGTAAGCCATGATATGACCTACCACTACACCAAAGTCCAAATTCTCCATCCCACTTCCTAAATTTTATCAAGTGTCATCATTTTTCTCAAAAGTTGCTATTTTTTCCCCTTTACATTGCAAATGATATTAAGTGAATACATATGAAAAGTAATATAAAAGGGGTAAGTTCTAGTTGGTGGAAGGATGTGTGTAGGATAGATCTGTTGGAGGAAAATAGAAGAGGGTGGTTGTCGAATGGCTTTGAGTTACTAGTGGGAAAGGGAGAGGAAACAAGCTTTTGGTGGGACTTATGGTGTAAGGAGGGTGTTTTAGCTCATAAATTTTCAAGACTTCATATTCTTCCTGCAGGTATGAGTTATAAGATAAAGCAAATGGGAGCTTGGATGGGGATAGATGGTGTTGGACGTTACCATGGAGACGTACCTTGCTGTCTAGGGAATTACAAGCAAAGGTGGAACTGGAGAAGGTGTTGGAATCGGCCAAGCTACTTCAAGGATGGAAGGACAAATGGGTATGGAAATATGGCTATTGGCTAGGATGGTGGCTACTCAACAAGCTCCGAATATTCCATTTTGGCTTCAAGACTAGATAAGAGTAATAAGTATGTTTGTGAAAGGGGGTGGAACTTGATTGTCCCTACAAAGGTTTGTGGGTTTAATTGGGAATTACTTTTAAATGGATTGCCAACTAAAACCAATCTATTTAGGAGAGGTATTACTAACGATGTTGAGAACATGTGGAAGATAGTGATCATTTGTTTCTTATTTGTAAGATCACCTCAGAAATTTGGAGTAAATGCCTTAAATGGTGAGGAGTACAAACTATGTTTGCTAGTAATGTTTGGGATGTCTATGTCTACCATAAGAGTATTGCAGTTTCCACACGAATGAGGATAGGATGGGAGGTAGTGTGATTTGCTTTGACTTGGTCTATATAGCTTGCTCGAAATGAGATTTTGTTTAACCACAAGGAGGTAGATGCATACAAGATATTTGATTTAGTTCAAGTAAGGTCCTTCCATTGGCTAATAAATAGAGGGAAAGCTTCTAGTTTCTATTTTTCAGATTGGCTTCTCAACCCTCATCTATGTAATGTCAATGTTTGACTATGGTATCTATGAATTATAGGTACTGCAATTAATTATATATATGAGTTAAAATACTTTTTGTATTTAATAATGATAACAATTATATTTTGTCTTTCAAAAAGAAAAACAAAAGGTAATATAATTAATTAAATTGACTCATATATTTTTAATGTGCATAATGGAAAATTAAAAAGAAAGGAAAGTAAGGAAAATAGGCATATGTATATTACAAATAACCTTTAAACCAACAATACACATAGCTTAACTTAGGTTTTTGATACAAGGGTACTGGGGAGGGATATATTAGCTAGGTATTGGAACCTTATTATTGGCTGGGTTGATATATACTTGATACTTACTAAGGTAACCACCCTGACCAAGGGGTCGAGTGGTCTATAGCTAGACACTCGTTAATACTTTCTGCCACCTTACAACAACTTAACACACTACATATACTTGACAACATTCAAGTGCACAAATCCTTACATTACCTAGGTATAGTACAACCTAAGCCGCCTCCGATCCGTCTTTGTCCTTTCCTGCAGTATCTTGACCTGCCGGCGGAGCACAGTTTCCCGGATGGACCTTGTTTTTGCCTCCACCAGTTTTGTTCTCTTCAACGTCGACGTTGGCAGTTTCCCCTTTCCTTAGTCTCTCCTCTTCCTTTCTCTTCATCTCCTTCCTCAGTTCCTTTTGCATAACATAAATCCTGGCACAGTTGGGCCCAACTGTAGACATTTACTAGCTGCCTAACTTTCAGTTTGTACTAAAGTGTACTTTGTGTGAGAACAGAGATTGAAGGAGAGAATTTATAGAGGTTGATAAGGGTGCGTTTGGTTAGCTTGCAATTACTATTTGCAGCTATGATTGTAATTTTTTCCTATCTTAGTGTTAAAAAATGATTTATAAGATAAAGAGGGAGAGAGATTAAGTGGTCCGACAGCAGGCCCTAATAAACAATGTGGAAGCATGCTAAGTGATGCTGGTTTATATTATATGCTTTTGTTTTGCGCAGTTGAAAGTGGATATCTTGTGGAAATAGAATAAAATTAATAGGCCACAGTTAGGGCTGCAGTTATGGCCACGTGTAAAAGTGTTAGGAACACACCAATGGTTAAATATTATTTTTTAAAATATCAATTTTATTATTTAAAATTATAATTTTTAACTTATAAATAATAAAATAATTAACATTTAATACATAATAAATTAAAATTAATTTATATGTTTATATTTTTAAATATAATAATGAAGTATTTTAAAAAAATAATATTTGAATGGCCTAGTACTTTCATGTGTGTGGCCATACCGCCCCGGAAACCAGAAGGAGATAATGTATATACTAATCTAATCATCTATATAAGAGGCAGTAATATCCAAATAGCCCTTTGACTTTTATAATTCATATCCTTTCATTGACAAATAAAATTTGGTATAATACTAAGGTTTTGATTCAGTGATAAAGGAATGTTATTTCATCTTGTCTGTGGAGCTTAAAATTTGAAAAACATGATATAAATAGTGAACTCTTAAAATTTTATGAAAAAAATTATTTTTAATGCATGCAAACTAGTTTTACAACACTAATTATTAAAATAATAATAATAATAATAATAATAAAATTTTTAATTAAAAGGTTGATCAGGTTCAAACTATTTCTTTCCAAATTGGCCCCTCTAAGGCCACTACTAATTTAGGTTTACACCAACTAAATAAATATGTCAGTAGTAATTTCCAAGCAATAAGAATAGGAAAAAGTGAAAATTAAGTTGCATATAAAATTATTTAAATATTTTTAATAAAATTTTTTTACTTCTTAATTCATCAAAGGTATTTAAAATTTTTTATTATTATTCATGATATTTTAATTAGTAAGATGTTTTAATTTTTTACCATCTCATAAAATTATGGGTTATACATCTCTAATTGTACAACTCAAAATCTTAAAAAATTTTATTGCAGCAATTGGCTTTTTAATATATTCACATCTTTTATTTTAATGATAAAAAATTTATTAATTAAAGAACAATAAATATTCCAACTCATCACAACAACCATGAACGTTAATTTAGATTCCGTCTGGCGCCTAATTGTGGTTTTAGGTTTTTTTATATATATATATTTTTTATTTTGGTTGCACAATAAGAGGCAACTATCTTCCATTCTTTATTCTACTCCACTCGCATGTCATCCAACTCGAACTCAAAACTTCTTATTTTCAGCGAAAAGAAATGATTACTGAATTATTTAAGTCTTGACGTGGTTTTAGGTTTTAGATTTTAGTTTTTATAATTTTTTAACTTTAAATAAAAAAATTCATTTATTTTAATGTATTTTCTAACATATTATTATAATTATTAAAGAATAAGAAAAGAAATTATTTAATTCTATTAAATAAATTTATATTTTTCATTATGAATATTAAAACTTGTTTAAAATAAATTGCTAATTTTTAATTTTTAATAATTACAAAACTTATAAAAATTAAAAATTAAAATTAAAAACCCCAATTATAATGAATGAAGTCTTAAATCTTTGTGATAAAGAATTTTCGTTGTTATTATCATTTGCAGTATTTCGAATGCAAACCTAATAACATTCCACCCCCCCCCCCTTTTTTTAATGTTCTCTAATAATATTCCTATATTATATATATGATTTTTTTAATGTATAATTATCCTATGATGTGTAAAGGCACTAACATACATAATTTGGCAAAGTTGCAATGTCGACCATTAATTAATAATGCGTAATTACTTCATAAAACGTCACTAATTTGCAGTGTTTCGGGCGAAGGAAAGCCTTTTCACGGACGGAGGCTATTGGATTAAGATGAATTAACGGCCATTTTACGTAAGCCTCGATGAAATTCTACACCTCTTGCATGAACAATAAGCATGATTGCACGGGCACTTGGGTCTTTAGATTCAATAACTTCAGGTCACGTATTAGTGCATTCACTTTTTTAAATAATGGTGTGAATCCGATTTTTTATAAATTTGTTTAAAAAAAAAAAAAAGCATGACTGTACGGTTTAGGTTTTTTGTTTGACATTTTCCGCACGCATGGTAATATATGTATTTTTTTTTTGTCAATTATGGCTTTAAGTGGATATAATGATAGTCGACTTAATTTATTTTTTAATTAACTTGGAAAGCGATTCAAGTGTTTAATTTAATTACAATATACTCCATTATACAATAGATAATTGGATATAATCCGGAGGACTTATCAATTGATGGTTCCATCACTTTCTAATTAAGCTCATGTTCGTCTAGATATATATCTCCAATCTCAACAGTTAGGGTGTGTGGTGTGTTTGGTTTGATAGAAACTAAGAAACTTTCCATTTCCCCCTCCTCTCATTTGGATCAATTAAAATGAATAAATGAGAAATAAACAAATAAAATAAAGAAAGCTTTTCCTCACCTCTTCCCTCTAATTTTTAAGAAAAGCTTCTTTGCTCCTTATATTTCTCTCGAACCAAATAGATTATAAGATTATAATTAGATTAATAGGATATTTGTTTTCATTGCTAGGGGACATCAAATAGCTATTGGTCCCTAAACAACTAAATTGGATGTTTGAGAAGATATTTTTGTTTAGATATCTATTATGAGTGAGGATCAACTTACATTAATATAACTTATATTATTATTTACGTTAATTAATAATTCTCCGTATAGTTTGTATTTTATCAAACTAACTGTTAAATTTAATATTTTATTTTTATAGATTATTTTTGCCAACATTTTATTTTTATTTTGCATGTGAAATTTTAAATTAATTGGATGTGTTTAACTATGTCTTAAAAATAATTAATTTAATTTTAACCATTAAATAAATGAATAATATATAGTTTCTTCAATCATATAGTTACAAATATCAAATAATCTTAAAATTTAACATGTATAATCTATATAAATGAAACATTAAATCTAATAGTTGGTTTAGCAAAATACAAACTTTATAGAAAATTAATTACTGGTGTATATATAATAGTGTAAGTTATAATTGTGTAAGTTAATCATGTTGCATCTATTATATATCAATTATCAGTCATCAATTATCATTATCAATTATTAGCTGCATTTATTGATAAAAAAGTTATCAATTGTGCATTTGAACATCTAATCCAAACAAATACCAACAAAAAATTTGGTTGAATTAGTATTCACTAAATTAAAAATCTTAATTTGGAGTTAAAATCAGAGGTTCAAATCTCTATATTGCTAAGTAGTTAACCTTTCGCTGCAACCAATAGAAAAAAAAAAAAAAAAACCCTAATCCAAACAAATATATACTAATAACTAAAATTAAATTTATTTGGTTTTTTTTTTTTAATTTCAGTATTAAATTTCAAAACTAATTAGAACTACAATTTTTTAGTCTCTCCATTTAACAATTGTAGTTTTAGTTTTATTTTTTAAATTTTAGGACAAAAAGTTGGATTAAGATCCACTTACAGACAATTTTTACACACTATACTTACACAAAATTTTAACTATTCATCTTTCTACTTCTATGAATTGAGATTTACACTTTTTATCATATTTATTTGAAATAATTATCTTTTTCATCCAAAAAGTTATAATAAATCTCAACTAGTAGAAGTAAAAAAATGAATAGTTAAGATTTTGTGTGAGTGTAGTGTGTAAAAATTATGTATAAATAAAGGAAAATGATTGGTACACCTTTCAGTTCAACACACCTAATAACACCCATCAATTCAGTTATTAAAATTTATCTTTGAAAATTTTCCCTCTTTGAATTCAAATTTGAAAATATTAATTTCTTAATTATTAAATCGGTAAGCGTTCTTAGGTGTGTTGAACCGAAAGGTATACCAATCATTGTCCATAAATAAATCCTTATTCCAAAAGGTTTAGGTAGAATAAAATAGCATATAAATGATGATTGGAGTTTTTTTAGGGAAATAGAAACATCAAGATGTTCTAGTTTTTAAAACGTCAAAATGTCCAATAATAGATATATAATAAATTTAACGAAATTAGAGCCCACATTATGTTGCATATACTTAATAGTTATGATTAAACATTTTGATATTTTAAATATCAAGATGTGTTTTTTTTTTATATAAAACTATTAAGCAAAAACTACATATAGGAAAAAAAAATTTTCAAACGACATTTATTTGTTATTTTAAATTTCAAAACTAAATTTTTTGTCAAAATCAAAAAATAAAACTAAGACCGCTATTGTTGAGCATAGGGGAGTAATTATTACATTTTTTATTTTAATTTAATATTTCCAAATTTTGACAATAAAAGCAATGAACAACAATGTTACTAAACGGACGCCAAATAATCAATTGATCATGCTACATCATTAACAAATTACTTGTACCAACTATGTTAAAAAAAAAAAAAATTACTTGTACCAACTATTAAAATTTTAAAACTCTAAGTTAAGGTCTCATATTTGAGTTTGAACTCAGAGCTATTTTTTGGTACAAAGCCTAAAATTTAGCCCTAAGTTGAAACATTGTGGTTTACATTCCCAATTCAGCAAATCTTCTAGCTTTGCATTTATTATTTTATCTTGGGTTGCATAATGTGAAATAACTTTATTTTATTTTTTAATTCACTTTACTTGTATGACATGTGATTTAAACTCTAAAGTTTTTATTTTTATTAGAAAGAAACTACCACTAAACTCTTTACATTGTTGGGTAGCTTCACATTTATTGTAATTTTGGTTGATCTAAGTGGCAGTCGGTTATATGATGATTTATTTATATTTTAAATTTGGACAATAATTCACACACACCCAGTTTTGTCACCTTTGGTCACACCCTCTTTAAAAAATTAATATTTCATAGCTCGGTCTTTTAATGCAAAATAGCTTAAACTTATGCCCA